TCTCCACATCTTTTTTACATCGTAGTGACCAAAACTGAATGCAGTATTCCAAATGTGGCCTTACCAAGGCATTATAAAGTGGTATTAACACTTCACAGTCCTAAACATGATAGCAATTCTTATATAGCTTATATGTGGAATTACCTAATGGGACTCTGAATGAATAGTCTTCCCACTTCTATTTTATTAGGTCCCATTCTGCCCTCTTCAAATTTGCCCTCAATACCTTTACGTCCAGCACATTCAATATCAAAACTGAGGACACGCAAGGGAGCTATACGTTGCCATTCTCCCTCAGGCGGATGGCTAATGAAATCCATCCAAGCAACATCAGCTTCCAGCTGACAGAGTGATACCTAAAACAGGAGAAAAAGCAAAGCCAGTAATCCAGATGTTCCTGTAAAAGGTCTTCAGCCCTTGTATGTTCCCAACCTAAGATATATACAGAATCAATGTATTCCAGAAAATATTTATTCTACTTGAGCATCACAACTATGAGCCTGTACTCCACACTTTAGCCATTCATCCAATGCACTCACAAAATGCTCTTCTTACAAGAAAGGTACAGCCTATATATATAGATTATATAATATAGTCACCATTGAAATGTAATAAATGAGAAGAACTAAATTTAAATGCATACTATGTAATGAAGCTCTGGATAATTCTGGAACAGTAATTTACTTTTCACTTTGAACTATTTCAGACAGTATTGTTAGGACATAATGGAATGAGGGTGAGGAGAAATCATAAAGCTGGAAAGGGTCATTTAGATTCCTTCACTCTCTCTTTACATAGCTATATTTCTAGTCCTCTGATTTTCTTGTCACTCCTTTCTGAACATGTTCTGGCTTTTCTAATTCTCCCCACCAACACCACCTTGCGTGGATTCTCCTTATCAGATTCTCCAGCAGACTCTTCTTGTCGCAGGCGATACTTTCCAGCATGCAATTCAATCCAGTTACAGCCAACAATATCCCGGTCTACCATGAACCTATGTTTGGAGACAGAAATGATGAGAGATATTTGATCCTCACCAAGCATTATGACTTCTTCCCTCCATTTTGGGATTAAGAGAGTAACTCTCAATGCAGTTCAAAAATATTACCACAGGAATTCCCTCACTGTAAAATGGCTTTCTAAATTACGGGCATATGCTCCAATGTCTGCATTTTATTCATTTATATTGTTTTTATGTCTGTTGAAGTTTTTTTAATTTCTAATTATATTACAAAAATCTAGGATGACCTTCAACAACCTGGTGGCCTTCAAATGCAATGGCTAAGAATTGTGGGAATTTAACCTCAACTCATTTGAAAATCACCAGGAGAAATTTAGAGTAGAGGCAACATTTCAAAATACATTTAACTGTACTTATAGCCCACTTTAAATACAACCACAATCACTCCATGCACACGCTAGTTTTTTTTCTTTTTTTTTCTTTTTTCATTTCTGTTATAATTTTGCACCAGTGAGGTTAAAACCAATTTCATTGTATTTAAGTACAATCACAATAAAGATTATACTTATACTTCCAGTTATTGCATTGCAGAATCTTGATTAGTAATTTCTGGTAAACAAAAGCACATTCATAAACATGTGAAATTATGTGAGCACTGAACTCTCATCCTCTTGATAATTTTTATATCACTGTAAAAACCATATACTGTAACTCCAAGCAATTGTGAGGGCTAGATACACTATCCTATTGAAGTGTTATGTTCTAGTACAATAGATTGAGAGTCTTAGCAAGGTTCTTCCATTTTATCACCAAGCAAAGTCCATGACACCTATGTTCTGAAGGATTTCTTGAGATTAAAAACAATGCCTGGTAAAGGAAGCCAACTGCATCAATAGTTAAGTCTCACCTGATTTCAAAATCAATATTGGCTTCAAAGGCTTGAAAATTGTGTGTTCCCAGTGTTCCACACCGCAGCCCTTGTTCCAGCAATCTCTTGGCAGGAGCAATTAGCCGAGGCAGTGCCATTGTAATTTTCAGGAAGGGTAAAAGATGTGGTCCATGGAAGCCATACATGTCTAAAATGAGGAGAAGTCTTAAGACATTTTAAAATTAGAGGATTATCACTCCCAACACCTCAAATCTCTCATCCAATTAATTTATGTAAAGGACTTTCATTAATGTATTTCATATTTGCTTATTGTCCCTTCTCTTTGCCTCCTGAAAATTTGCCTGCATTAAAAATGGGTAAGCTGCCCAAGTAATAAGTTCAAAAAAGTTACACAGGAAAAGAAAACACATTTTTTGTAAAATTTCCATATTTAGTACTTGGAGGCAATACTATCCACAGAAGAAAGATTAGATTTGTTAATTTGGAACTGTCCATGGAGTTTATGACATATTATCCAAGCATGTTCATTCTAATCTATAATGTACAATCATTCCAACAGCTTTGGGGAGTAGCAGTGAAAGCAACATCATGGGGATGCAGTATGAAAGCACAATATTGTGTTGCTATAACAAAGTTGTGATTTTAAGGCCCAAGTCCCCATATCTAGATCGAATCCAACTCCTTGCCATCTAAACAGGATAGCTACACACCCACACTTTACAAATTCTCACTCTGTTTTTTGCAGATCTCCACTGCTAGAACAACTTGGTTCAAACCATCCTTGTTGGACCGCATGTCCCGGATCACAGCTGTATTCAGTTCCCGCTGAAATTCAGCCAGATTCTCTGCTTGGAATCCTAAAGAAAAACAAAGAGAAATAAATTTTATTGTAAGAATCAAGTTCAAGACAGACCTTCCATCAACCATAAATTTTACTCACCAGGTGGGGCAGGTACATAAAAATAAGGTGCAAAACCATGGATATGACAGCAGACACTGTTGCCAGCTGCAGTGACACCAAACATTCGCAGGACAGGCACAGAACCTTGGGTACAACCAGGGAACCCAGGGATGTGAGAGCCTGATTCGGAAACAGAATGAGAACATATTAATTAGTGAAAAATCAGTATTGTATGACTCTCCAATAAAAAAAGTTCCAGAATATCTTTTCATTATTTAGTATCTAGGCAAAATAAACATACAAATAGGAGTTCACAGTAACCTTCAGGTTTTCATCAACTACATTTCATATTTAAGTTCTGAGAATTCTATTTAAAATTATTATTTTCTGGATTTTTTTATACCACACACATGACTTAGCAACCATTCTCTTCCTTTTTAAAAAAAATATAAAGACATTTAAGAATATATATATATGTATATAGTATATAGTATGTATATAGTATATGTCTCTGAAAAGAAAAGTAGGACTTTTCTCCCAAAACAATATTTATTTCAATAGCGTAAATGTTTGCTGAGGATACAAAGGAATGGATGACTTTTAAAATTTAATTCACCTTTCTTGGAGAGAATTTTCCTAATTTTACTTATTTTTCATAGACACATTGAAAACAGATTCCTATATACCCTAGACTATTTGCTATGGTACCTTCTAACATCAAACAAAAGTAAAACAAAAGTGGGATTAAAACCTCTGTGGGGAATTCCATTCCTTGCCCATTTTTTCTGAAGAGAAGAGTTAGTAACTTTGTGCATCTGTTCTAGCTGTCAAAAGCCCCAGAAACGATAACAGTTTTAGACTTCCCCTCAGGAGCAGAGTGTTATTGTTTAGCAAGGAATAAGAATATCTAGTTCTGCAAACCTTTTTCTAGGAAAAAGAATAAAACCAATCCATCTGTTATTCAATCCCTTAAAAAATTTCTTTATCAGCAACTCAAACCTGTTTACACACTTACCCACATAATAGTCTAGTTCCACTTGCTGGAAACATAGGGCTTCCTCATTGGGATTTATTTTGGGAGGCAGAGGCCTCTGCCACTTGGGGTTGTGTATTGATGAGAAGAGGTTACCTGAAAGAAGGAAAAGCTCACAATACAGTTATCCACCAATCCTGTTTTAATCAAACCCATATTTTGAACAATTAGAGATATTGCGCTTTAAAAGATCATGAATGATAAGGAAGGAAAGGTAGCATGGAATATGAGACAAAGAGCCTAAGCTGTTGTTTAATAAGTCTTAGTATAATACAAGATGTATATAGTATCTTTTTGTAATATTGGGAGATACAAATGGCAATGTTATACAGATGGTATTTGACTTACAACTATTCGTTTAATGGCTATTTAAAGCTATAATGGTGTTGAAAAAAATGACATGATCAGTTCTTGCATTTATCCCCACAGTTAAGTGATCAAACTTCAGGTGCTTGGCATATGGTATGCATTTATGATGGTTGAGCAGGCTGGGGTTCTAGAATTGTCATTTGCAACCTTTTTAGGAAGCTTCTGATAAGTCAAGGAGGGAAGTCAGATTCGCTTAACAACCATTCACTTAACAGCTATAGTGAATCACTTAACAACCTTGGCAAAAAAGTTATAAAATGGGACACGACTTGCTTAACAACTGCCTTGTTTAACAATGGAAATCTAGGGTTCAGTTGTGGTTGTAGATGAAGGACTTACGTGTAATAATTTTTAAAACATTGAAACAGTATATTAAAATAAATTTGAATTGTGTAATAGAGTTTAACGGAAATGAAAAGCTTAATTTTAACATGGATCACAACCACCAGAGACACTATCATCCACATATCATCCTTTTGCAGTTGTCCTCACTGCTTTGGTATTTATTCTGCCTCAGAAAATCTTCTCCCAATTTACAACTCTGTAACTCACCAAGGGGAATGGCATCAGGTGACAACTGTGCTTCTTTCATTTCTACAGCCACCTCAGCCTCCACCTCATCCAGAAAAGCCAACTCTTCTTCAAATTGTGAGGGACCATCTTCATCCCAATCTCCTCCCCGTGACCTTTTCTGCTGTGATGGGGTAAAATCCCCAATACTAATGCGTCTCACAGAAACCTTCCTCTTGTTTTCCATCTTGGCTTTCCTAAAAATTGAAGATCACCCCATGTCAGCTTCATCAAAAGTATGCTGTTTCCCAAAAGCAGAATCAATTATTCCAACTAAAAATTCTGGTATAGTTCAAAAACTATAGGATTTCAAATTATTTTTTCTACAGAATCCGATCTCTCAGGCATCCAGATTCAACGCTGCAAAATTATCACCTTCCCTTACCAAATTAAGGACTGCTTCACTTTCATTTGCTTAGAATTTACTCACTTAAAATCAAGTCCCACTTGCTTGAGAACAGTTACTGTATCCTTTCAATTTTTGCCTGTGATGAATAAAACAAGAGAATGAAGAATTTTGAACACAGAAATACAACAGGCAAGGAAAGGGAAAAACTAGGATTCAGAACCACATCTTAAAACTTTTTCTTTCAAAATATACAGTTGCTTGAAGACCATTGAAGCGTTTGTGTGGGTGTACATATGAATATGTGTATGTATGTATGTATGTATACATACATACATACACTACTCCTGGAAACACCAAACCTGAAGTAGTCTGAAGCAGCCTGAAGATGACGAATGAGACTTCGTCAAAACGTCGCCAAGACATCTCCAATTCTACGCGGGAGAAAACCCGAACAACTAGAGACCTACATACTAACACCCGCGAAAACCTCAGAAAACATACATATATACATACGTACACACATATACATACATACATATATATACATACATATATACATGTATCTGTATGTGTGTATGTCTGTGTGTGTATATGTATATGTGTGTGTGTATGTATATATATATGTATATATATGTATATGTATATGTGTATATATATATATGTATGTATGTATGTGTGTATATGTGTGTGTGTTTTATTTGTGCTGATAAATAAATAAAGGGAGACTAGTATAGATCTATTTCAAGCTATTTAGCTCTCATCAGCTAGCCATACCCTTACTGGGATTCGAACCTGTGCTGTATTGCATCTTAGGCAAACGTCTTAGCCATTATGCCACAGGTCTCCTCCTTATCAGCTGAAGCCAGGGAAGAAGGTATATATTTAGTGTCACAACCCCTGGTAAGCCTCAATTATGGGAGGAAGCTAACTGCTTCCATCATCTGTCAATCGGCTTGTCACAAGAGTCCATCACGACAGAAACCCAATATTTTATTTATCAGCACAAATAAAACACAAATATAACAAAGGCATCAGTAAAAATATTGGGTTTCTGTCATGATGGACTCTTGTGACGAGCCGATTGACAGATGATGGAAGCAGTTAGCTTCCTCCCATAATTGGGGCTTACCAGGGGTTGTGACATATATATATGTATATATACAGACACATACATACATACATACATACATACATACATACATACATACATCTTACAAATATGACCTTATTGAATCAGATCAATGACCCATTAAAACCAGTGGTTTCCAAAAAAGCAAAATTGAAGTAGTATTATGGGTCATAGATTATTGTCCGGTGGGTTCTACCTGTATGTTGCATCAGTTTTTCTCTTTTTAAAAGCCATTTAATTGGTGCTAGAGGAACCACACTTTTGAGAAGCCGAATTTTTTTCAAGTTGATATCTGATATCCAGATATATTGGACTACTATTTCCAGCTACTTCAAACACCAAAATTAAAGAGGTTATAAGCCAACAATCTGGAAAGCAGAAAGTGGGGGAGGCAAGCTCAGAATAACAAGTGCTGCTAGAAAGCTTGATTCTTTCTACACACTTTCCCTCTGCATTTAGTTTTATCCATTCCATTAAATCACTGCTTCAGATCCCTAAAACAGCCCATGCATCCTCCGTATGTGTTGACCACGATGTTTGGGACGATGGATGCTACAGTTCAGAATTGCTATAAACCCTCAACCTCCTGCTCCCCGGAACCCCCAAACAGATGTCAGCCGACTTTTTCCCCACAGCGGCAGGCCACTTTCTAAGCCATCACCCTGAATGCAGAAACACCGATTCTCCCGTGTAAATTACCTCACTTGGATCCCTCACGTCACCTCAACACTCAGCCATTCTCCCGCCAACAAGTTTGGGGGGGGGGAGCCTGGCATGCCACGCCCTCGTTGCCATGCCAACACTTGCCCCATTTGCTATCGCCTGCTACCGACTGCGCTTCGCCTTTCGTGAGTCATTGCGCGTGCGCCTTGCGCTTTTGTACGGCCGCGACCTCCATGTTTAGACCAGCAAAGACGACGTAATTCCAGACCATCTTACCTAAGCGTTCGTGATTCATGCTTGGGCGGGTTTAGCAAGAGCGGGAAGGCATACGGAAATTACAAATGGCTCCAGACGCATGCGCATGCATAATAGCAGATTGCGCTTACTCAATAGAGTAATGGAGGCAGCAGGGAGAGGAATTGAAATTTTACCTTTCTGTACCCCGATATTCCATAAGGGGGGGGGTTCTCTGGGTCCTCCGTGAGGCAATACCGAGCAACTTTAGATTTCATGAAGTTAGGACTTAATCACATACATTTTCCAATGATGTCATGATGCATGCATCCACATTTTGATGTTGGGACTTATTACGGAAGCTACTGCGCCCGATTACAACTTGCTCAGTTCTTCCATTCTCTTGCCCCATTCATTCGTATATTTGTTTTGCAATTCAATCCTCGCTGGTTCTCTGCATGTGGCCATGTTTGAACATGTTCTTTTTGTATTGCTTACTGAATTTGGTGTTTGAGCAACATTGATTTAACACTCTTCTATTCAATCTTGACCCTATATATTCTTGCTTTACCATGTACTCTTCTATCCCATTCCTGTTGCTTTCATTTTTTTTATTTTGTTTCTCCTGACATACCCACATTTCCCTAGAATAAAGCGAAAGACAAACTCTTATACAGGTAGTCCTCGACTTATGATCAAAATTGAGCCCAACATTTGTGGTGTTAATTGAGACATTTGTTATATGAGTTTTGCCCCATTTTACAATCTTTCTTGTCACAGTTGTTAAGTGAATCATTGTAGTGATGATCTTTGTGGCAAAAACCATCCTCTCTCCAAAACACAATGCCAAAGGGCACCATGCCAGAAAATGGTGATAAAATCCAAAGCACAATCTTAAGTAATTGTCCTGGGATCAGGTAGCTATAACGGCTTTGACTTTAGTTCCAAAGAACTGTTTACCAAACTTATTACTGCTTACTATACTTACTACTTACCAAAACAATGAAAAGTAGTAGTCTGTCGTGGGCATTGCATAGGCTCCAGCTGCAACAAAATTAACCTTTGGAATTAAGACTTGGAAGTATGACTTTTTTTATTGAAGAGGGCAAATATATAATTATGTGGCATGTTACATTTCAGAGGAAAAAAGTCTCATTTGATACCAAATAACTGTCAGATTATTTAGACTATACCAGATCAAATGCAGAAATGAGGGGTATTGAATTACAGTTCCTATCACCCTTGTCCATCAGCAAAGAATCCTCAAGTTACTCTAAAAGTACGTTTTCTAGGCATCTACCACATCCCACAACCAAGACTTTTACCATCCAGAATGCATAGACGTATGTACCAGAAAATATTTTAAGAGATAGTAACAAAATCCACAAATGTATACTATGGAGGGGGAAAAAATCTAATTCCCTAACCTATTTCCCTCCAATAAATAGGAGTGCAATTCCCCTGGCTTCCAATTATACAAAAATATAACAAAAAATCATTTAATTGTTTCCTAGGTCTCTTAATCTGTTTCAGAACCATCAGTTCCTTCATGAATCATGGGGAACAATGGAAGTGAAGGGTCTCTAGAGATTGCATAGGCACAATCTTGCCAGAGTCTTAAGTGACCTTTTGGTTCCAAACCCGTTACTAAAGCTTCAACAGGACCGTGTAGCAAATCCTCCCAAATTATCCCGCTGTTCCTTTTGGAACCCATTTGAGTCCATCAGTCTCCAGGATGGAACCCATTTGGGTCCAGTGTTCTTATGGAGAAGGAGGATGTAAGAGAGTGTCAGGGGTATCAGGGCTAATCTGATTAGGATGGGGGGATAACATTGGATTCCATACCAGATAACATTGACATTGTTTGGATAAGAATATTAGATCTGGTATTGTTCTAACTCTGTTTTAAATCGGACCTGTGACAATCTGAGATAGGTCCATGTCCATCATGGAGGACATGAACTCCTCTGCTGCTTCGTAAGTCAAACTCAGGGAAGGCAGATTTAAGTCACCCAGTAGCATGAGTTTGGAGAACTGCACTGACAATCCTGAGATGGTTTCTAGCAGTTTAGGCAATGAGGTGGTTATGCAGCCGGAAGATCATTATAGTAGCAACAATCCTAGCTGATTCCATGAATCCCATATCAGAAAGAGAGTCTCTAGCCAGAGATGCAGGAAGTAAGGCCCTTGAAGGTGGAGTTTCTCTGATGACCACTGTGACCATGGGCTGTTGCCAAACCCTAAACCTGGCTGGACACATCTCTGAAAGGTGAATCCCTATTTTACTGACTGCCAGGTCTCGATGATGTGTGCCAGATCAGCATGTTCCTCCTCAGTAAGACCTTGGATGACTGGAGCCTTGTTAACCAACCTGGCATTCAGCAGCATCAGCTGAAGCTCCAGACTCCAAGGGAATCCTCTTCAGGGATTGAGCATGAACTAAGGGGGCCAGAACATGCCAGCAATACTCAACATTGGGGACACTTCCCCTGTAACAGCCTTCCTTCCTGTTCCCATTGAGTCCCATGCCCATTACTATACTGATGCAATGTCCCACCCTATGGTTATTTACCGTATATCCTCTTCCCTGTAGAGCCCTACCCCAATCATTCGCTTGCATCCACTCAGCCTTTCTAAAGAGGATAGGAGCTGGAGGAAGCCCCCACAGTGCAATAGCTCAAGCTCTGCACCAGGGACTACCCCTGTTCCATTCACTCATCGACAATCGCAATCACAAATTCATTATAACCTACTTAGGCTTAGGAAGTATCCTACATAGTGCTCCTGTTCACATTTTCTTCACAACTCTGGAAGGACGTAATCTAGGTAATTATTCCATCTATTAGGACGTAATCTAGGTAATCTATTCCATCCTCAACCAATGGAAGTTCCCTGTCTTAAAATAGCTTTGGGCCAGTTACACCCTAATCAAGAAGGTGTAATTGGCCCAACACTATTTAGCAATAGCAGTAGACTTATATACCGCTTCATAGGCCTTTCAGGCCTCTCTAAGCGGTTTACAGAGAGTCAGCATATTGCCCCCAACAATCT